GGCGATCTATGAATTCAGTTGCATTCCAATTCAATTATTTTCATATTTATTTCCTTTGTTCAGAAAACGTGCATTCGGTATACTTTGTATATTACATTTTAAATCACACATGCTGACTTATTTTAGTACTTTTGCACGTTGAAGAACAAAGCACTTTGCAGAAGGGTAACTCCCATTGGCATCCTATTCGTTTTGCACATTAGCAATCTTTTAAAAATAAGAAAATTGAATAAGTGGCTTTCTTTTGCATATAATGCAGAAGACAAGACTTACAATCTGCCTATGTGGTGTGGTGTGGTGTGGATCAGAACAAAAACAAAACATAACAAACAATTTCAGGCAATGGAAATACTTTCTTCCATAAATTCACTCCATTGTACCTGGTTTTCTGCTCTCTGCACTACAGAAAGGAGGAACTAGAAAATATGAGTCAACATGCTTCATTTTTATTTAAAAAAAATATCCACTAACTATTTAAATAAACCGGTGCTGTTATCCTCTACTTCAAAGGCTTTGTTCCATTAAACAAGCAAGTACAGTGTAATTCAAATCTAATTATATTTTTATATTTGATGAAACTGCTGTAGATAACTCAGCTTCTGGCTTCTGAAAGCAGAGAAGTCATGACTATTTTGATTTGCACTGTTAACTTTTTATTAATATCCACAGTTTTGTTCATTTGTTGAAATATTGCTTCTCTAAAACCATTTAACTGGCTATTGCTAATAGGCATTGACATTTTATAGTACAAAAATTGCAGAAGCTTAATAGGGTTCTATAGTGGATGTTGCTCATATTTTAAAGATTCATTTTTCTTACACTCATAACCAGCAACTGGTTCCCGTGAGAATCAGACCTGACCCAAAAAGGAGCAGTTTGCCTTGGGGATATGTTTTTCAACTCTTCATTGCCCCCTTAATAGTCATCCACCAGAGTTTATGTTTTCTTGAATCCTTTTACTCTAGAATACCTTTAGTCCCGATGGACCAAACTGGGAGGAAGGAAAGGTTGCATGTGACACTCTCAATGAAAGAAAACTCCAAGGCTTGAGTTTCCTCAAAGTTCCATTTTATTAGAGATGTCATATTGGGACCTCTGGGAAAACCCAAATCTGAAAGTTTCCAGGTTTTCCCCACCCAAAGGAAAGTTCAAGTCCCTGCCCAACATCCACATGTCCATCTATCCCAACTGGAGATGCCTTCCAGTTCCAGCCGTCCAGGTGCAGGCAAGATGTCCTTGACTCTCTGAGAAAGGAATGTTATTATGACTACATATCACCCTGGCTCCATACAATCTCCCCTCCCAGTTTCCCACTGAGAAAGTAGTCAATGTGGCAGGCCTGAAGATCCAATGAAAAAGATAGCTTCCAGGCCTGAGAGGATGTGTACTAATCCTCTATATCAGGAGTGTCAAATTTGATTTCATTGAAGGCCACATCAGGGTTATGTTTGATCTTGGGGGTGCGGGGGGAGCAGGGCAGGCGTGGCCAGCTCAACATCACTCAAGGAAGCTCCATTTTCAGCCGCGACAGCCTCCTGCAGCCCTCTGCCAGTGAAAATGGAGCCCCGTGGCCCTCCCAAGCTCCATTTTCACTGGCAGAGGGCTGCAGGAGGCTGTTGTGGCAAAAAACAGAGTCCGGAAGGGCTGCACGTGGTCCTCCCGAGCTCCGTTTTTTCTGGCAGAGGCACCGTGGATCAGTCCTTTGCTGTTTCCAGGGTAGGCCCGCAGGCCAGATCTAAGCATCGTGCAGGCCGGATTCGGCCCGCAGGCCTTGAGCTTGACACCCCTGCTCTATATCCTTGCTTTTCAAATATGGCAACTTTAAGATGCATCAACTTCAACTCCCATTATTCTCCAGCCAGCATCTGGGGAAATTCTAGGATTTGAACTCCAAACATCTTAAAGTTGCCACATTTGAAAAACGGTGTTCTTATATCATCTGAGAGCAGCTTTTGGGGAAACAGAAAACAGTGCCTCTATTTTTTAGAGTAATGAAGGAAGGGATATCTTCCTTCATTAAAGCTGAATGTCTGTTAAATCCAAATTTTAGATAATTGCCATAATTGATGCTATTTGCATTAATTAATGGGGTTTTTTTTTTGCATCATTATATAATTAATATCATCCATAATTTGAAACCTTGTGTAATTGATATCATACATAATTTGAATCATTATATAATTGTTATCCTACATAATTTGCATCCTCATGTAACGGCAAACACTTTAAACTGAGGCAAATGACATACATTATGTTAATTGTCCAGACTGCCTCGGAAAGGATCGCCTATCTGTTTATGTGAAATCCATACTTATTTTTTTCCCTAGTGCATCTGAAATCTCCATAAAATCAAAGTTTTATTGTAGTTTTACTGGTAGACAAAAATGCACTGCCAGGTTCCTTAGCAATTCCCAACACACCTGGGAACTCCCATCTATTTTTCTGTCAGATTTTGACTAGGTTTCTTCAGAAAAGACATCTTTCATAAAACTAGTTCTGGTCCTCAGTCCTCAAGGAAAACTACATTCTGTTCAACCAGATGCCGCTTTGTATAACTGCCATCACAACATTGCTAATATAGTAGGATTCTGGCAAGATCCACAGTTATTCCTAAGCATTCTTACAGTGTAGGAATAGAAGCTGAAAAACAGCTTCTATACCTTGAAGGGTTGGTCCATTATTGGTCTATCCAATAAAATGCTAATTAATTGCCAATTCTGCCATGAATAAATTGATGTGTTCGGCTACAGTTGTTATAATCCCCATCCAATCACATTAAGACCCATTGGTCTGATGTTTGTATATTTATTTAGGTTGTTTAATGCAGGTACAATAAACAGAACATTTTTATTTATTATCTTATGACTTGGTTAGTTTTTTTTTTTTAAATGCTGAAAGGATATAGGTTTCAGATTTGGAAAGAGAGGAAATAATTTCTTCCTATGATCTTGTACAAATAAAGATTTCCCACACACACACACCCAGAAAAAACATGTAGCTACTGACCCAGAAAAGTCTGAATTAGTATTGAATTGGTCAAATAAAGGGAAACATTAACTATTTTCAAGGTGTTTGGGAAATGTTTTGAACCTCTAACTGATTATATTTGGGTTGGATCAAGAATGTATTAATTCATATCCTACTAATCTATTGTAACCCCAGATTTTGTCTGGATGATGCGATGGTGATGATGATGATGATGATGATGATGATATTTATGTATATATCACCCAACTCACAGAAATTCTGGGCAATTTCTTGGGGTTGTTGTTCTTGTTAATTATTCTTGGAAATAATAGTGAGCTATTTCTCAGCATTGGTTGACATCCACGTAGTAAAGATTATGTGAGTGCTATTCTTTGCTTCTAGACATTTCTTTTGCTGATCCGCTAGCTGTGAAGATTAATAACTGCATTTATTCTTATTTTCTTACTTTCAAGTTGAAACCTCCCTCCTCATAAGGTTGAAATTCTGTTGTCACATTTTGGTAGCCTTTGAGGAATGAAAAAAAGGTACTGAAGACATTGCAGGTAACCCAGGGCTATAGATTGTCCAACCTGGTTTTTGAATGTGTTCAAGAGCAGGGGTCTCCAACCTTGGCAACTTTAAGAATTGTGGACTTCAACTCCCAGAGTTCCTCAGTCAGTTGGCTGAGGAACTCTGGGAGTTGGAGTCCACAATTCTTAAAGTTGCCAAGGTTGGAGACCCCTGTTCAAGAGGCTAATCAGCTCTTCAGATGTAATATAAATTATACAGAGTATAATAGATAGTCTCCTCCTCCAGTTTTACATTCTCTTTACTAGGCTATCTCAACGATGCTTTCAATACACATTCTGATCAACTCTCAGATCCTCATATGGTTAATTCAGTTGGGATCCCTTAATCATTGTTCTTCCCTGTACCACCCTTTTACCATCACCACCCTTCTCTTTAGCATGTGTGTGTGTGTGTGTGTGTGTGTGTGTGTGTGTACATGTGCGTGGGTGCATGCATGCATGCATACATGCGCCTTACTTGAATGGAGGCAGCTTCAGAATGCAAACTTTGGTGGTGTGACTTTGTGTGCTGAGGTTGTGAGGATAGAGAGTTGTGGGTGCAATGTGGTGATAGATTATTGTAGCTTTTCTTGGCTCTTGAACCAAAAGCAGCAGAATGTATTTGCCCTCAGTGTGGAAGGGATTGCCACTCTCGAATTGGCCTTTTTAGTCACACCAGATGCTGTTTTAGGACCTCTTTCCAGAGCACGATACCATAGTCTCTTGAGACTGAAGGATGCCAATGATGATGAACCAAAGGCAGGTGCACAAGGACCAGAAGAGGATTTAGGTTTCAGATTTGGAAAGAGAGGAAATAATTTCTTCCTATGATCTTATACAAATAAAGGTTTTTTTCCCTAGACAAAGCAGGTAGCTGTACTGACCCAGAAAAGTCTGAATTAATATTGAATTGGTCAAATAAAGGGAAATGATAACTATTTTCAAGGTGTTTGCGAAATATTTTGAATCTGTAACAGGTTATATTTGGGTTGGATCAAGAATGTAGCACCCTTTTACAATTACCACCCTTCCCTTTAGCATGTGTGTGTGTGTGTGTCTGTGTCTGTGTGTGCCTTGCTTGAATGGAGGCAGCTTCAGCCTGCAAACTTTGGTGGTGTGGCTTTGTGTGCTGAGGTTGTGAGGATAGAGGGTTGTGGGTGCAATGCGGTGATGGATTATTGTAGCTGCTCCTGGCTCTTGAACCAAAAGCAGGCTCACATGGACCAGAAGAGGAAGACTTTGGTACAAATTGCTACACCACTGAGTTTGCAGGCCAGAGCAGCATCCCATCCAGCTGCGATTCCTCCCTTGTTTCGATCAACATTTTTGAATGAGGAAGTGGCACACCCATCACCTATCAAGCCAGAATGAAAACTCTTCCTCTGTTCTCCCATGAAAATGGTATTCGTAATCTATGAGGTGCTACTGACCAGGTTGCCTTTGCTTTGTTTTTTTGTTCCACAGGCTATGGACATGCAGCCCCTAGCACTGATGGTGGGAAAGTCTTTTGTATGTTCTATGCGCTGCTGGGAATCCCACTCACCCTGGTCATGTTTCAGAGTCTGGGCGAGAGGATCAACACTTTTGTGAGGTACCTCCTGCACCGCATCAAGAAGTGCCTTGGCATGAGACGGCCAGAAGTATCGATGGCCAATATGGTCACCATTGGATTCTTCTCCTGCATCAGCACCCTTTGCATTGGGGCTGCTGCATTCTCCTACTATGAGAATTGGACCTTCTTCCAGGCCTACTACTACTGCTTTATCACCCTCACCACCATTGGTTTTGGAGATTATGTGGCCCTTCAGAAAGAACATGCCCTCCAGACCAAGCCCCAATATGTGGCCTTCAGCTTTATCTACATTTTAACTGGGCTGACAGTCATTGGGGCCTTTCTCAACTTGGTGGTGCTCCGGTTCATGACTATGAATGCTGAGGATGAAAAGCGGGATGCGGAACACCGGGCGCTGCTCACCCGCAATGGACAGGCCAGCAGTGTACATACTACAGACACTACGGCATCCTCAACCGCTGCTGCATTAGGGGGCATAGGGGGTGGTGGAAGCAGCAGCGGTAGAGGAGGACTCCGAAATGTTTATGCTGAAGTTCTCCACTTCCAGTCCATGTGCTCCTGCCTCTGGTATAAGAGCCGGGAGAAGCTGCAGTACTCTATCCCCATGATAATCCCCAGAGACCTCTCCACCTCTGATACCTGCATGGAACAGAGCCAGTCCTCCCCCGGGCATTACCCAGAGACTCCATCCAACAGATGCTTCTGCAACACTCAGCGTTCAGCCATCAGCTCTGTTTCCACAGGACTTCATAGCCTCTCGGCCTTCCAAGGACTTATGAAGCGGCGAAGTTCTGTGTAAAGACTAGGAGCCCTTTTACAAACTCTCCTTTACTACTGAAAAAAAAAAAAAAAGAAAAGAAAAAGGCAGGCATGAAAACCCAGGTGGAGATAAATGGCAATGATACAACTTAGAATTTATAAAAAAATAATTTAACCATAAGAAGGAAGGAAGAGCATGCGCCTAAGGGAGTGCGCAATAAACTGATGGATCAAGCAGCGGGTTGGTTATGAGGGGCAATCTCCTAGGGAAACTGAACCGCCAGAGTCTCTAGATCAAGATCTAGTAGTGGATTCTGTTAAGTTCTTCTGATGATCGAAGAAGGGAGAAATTCAAGCTGTCCTTCCAAAGGTCTGGCAACACTAAGTTGTCTCTTCTCCCCAAGAAGGAGGCTTGGCACTCCTGTTGCTGGTGGAAATTTTAAACTTGTTTTGCAGCAACTCCACAAAATGTGAAACTTGAAAATAAGGCTTTGTGCCCTTGTAAAAGTGTGTAGAACAGGGTGAGGTGGCTCTCAAATTGAGCATACAATCTTAATTTGTGCCAAGGACTGATGGAACGACCTTACATTCCCCCCCACCCCACCCCCACAGGCCAGTCCAATAAAGTGGGGTGAAAAGAGAGGAAATGATGTTAAGTACAGGTTTTTCCCTCCCTCTCCGTTTATTTTATTCCATCCATTTCAAAGGGAAAGGAGGGGTCTCCTTGCTTGCTTACCATTGAAGGGCCTTCCATAAAGGGGAAAACCTTTATGTAGGAGAAGTTAGAAATCTTATAGAGGATGAAGAACCTGTTCCTGATTAGTTAATACATAAAAAAGATCAATTACAAATGGCATGGGTATGGACACACAGAGTGGCTTTTGCTACATGGTTTGGGTCAAATATCAGCAAAAGCGGCTTCTTATTCATTATATCCCATTCACAAGTGACATTTATTACTCTACCACTCTCCAGAGTACAGCACTGTGCAAAGCAGTATCCCATTTGTATTTCTGTGTTCATGTGTACACAACAAAGCCCGTATGCTCTTTTGCAAAGCTTTCACATGTGCAAATCCACTCTCAAAATCTTGCCCAACTTCCCTTTTCTTACTATCCCTAAATCTCACTGAATAGATTTCAAAAATGTCTTCTATATTTCCCCCTTTCTAGACCTTTCCCCCATTCTCATAGGCTCCCAGGAAGGAATGCCATTACAGTATACTTTCCCCCCTCAAATCCACCATTTTTGAGTATGTGAAATATTTAACTTCTTCACAAATGTGACAAGGTTGTAGCTCTAGCACTGTCTTGGCTAAGACATCTTTATGCTATGGTGCAGCAAGAGTCTGATGCGATGTGAAGGCAGAGCCTACTCAAATCTCATCATTTCTCTATAACCCAAATTTCTATTCTCCTAGGATGTGCTATGTCCTCTAAAAGTTACTGCATTTCTACAAATCAGATGAGGGGTGTGTATCGTGGGCCTCACTGCACCGAAGGGACACAATCCCAGTTTGCTAACCTGGATGTTTTATAGCTAATCTGGGAGGATTGATTTAATTGGAAACCAACCATTCAGTCTTGACTTTAACCATTCATTATGACTTTAAAAATAATCCACATGTTTGCTCATAGGCTAGGCCAGTATTTCTGTCATTGATTGTACAAGGCAAAACATATGAGGACATGATGGAATTGTTCACTGGACTTCTTCAGCCTAGCATGCAATTGCATCTTTGAATCCATAATGAAACAATGCACAGAGAAAGATTATTATGGGAAAGATAAGGTTTAAATTCTTCTCCAGTGCTCTCTTTCTAGTGTTTGACCCCATTTGAAGAATACTTCAACTGCTGATTGAAATATGTAATCCAGCCTCATCCCCCCCTCCCCCCTCTCAGTTTGTTGCTTTATGTCTTGAGGGCATCAGGCTAAGGAAAGCTAGTAGGATTCATTAAAGAAATCCAATATGCTTTTCACCTCCTGATGCAATTCTTAGTTCATAACCTGGGGAAATTGCTTAAGCAGAGATTTCAAGATCTAAAATTAGTGAATGAATTTTGCTACTCTCACGAGCTGGCTATTTTTCCTATGATAGGGAACACGTTCTGTGATTCCTCTCATATTTCTTCAAGTCCTAGGTCATCCCCTCTAAAACAGCTCTAAGGCATCTTTAGATGGTCACAGTGATTGGAGATGGGCTCAAAAAATACTCTAATGAGAGCCATAACTAAATATTTGTATTAATTGGATTCTTTCCAGCAGAGCCCCAAGAATATACAATAGGATCTTCAAAGCAAGGATACTGTCCCCATGACGATGTATATACAGTATGTTGTTTATCTTTAAACATTGATCATTTAAAATTATGTATGATAACAACTAGGCATATAGTAGGATATTAAAGAGACCCATGCAAAAGGGAATTTGGAGGACTGAAAGATAAAGTTAGTTGAAGGCTTTCCCACCCGCTCCCCAAACAATTTATCTTTAAATAGAAGCATAGTTCTAGATTTCCAGGGAAATCTTTGTATCTATTCTTCCCATTTTGGAGGGGAATTCTTAAATTCAGGAGCGTCCTTAAAATATATAAATATGATTGAGTTTGATTCTAGTAAGGGTGGCAGAATGAAAAGCAAACATACCTGATCCATGAATGCAACAACCTGCTTTCTCTTAGCAGACAGTAAAAAGGAGAAAGCTACATGAGAACACTAACCCTTAAGTTATGTTCATTTGGCTGCATCAGAGAGAGATCAACAAAGATGTGTGACTTCAGCTAAAAGTCACACCCAGTGCTGTCCCTGTTCTCTTCCTTCCTGGGACAGATTCTGCTGAGCGGCTCACAAAGCAACTAGGATTTCTGGCTCAAATGGGCTCTTGCATCAGTGAGCAAATTAGGCTAAGCTGGTCTTAGGCTAAAGCTTTTTTATTATTGTCATTCCTGCTCACGTGACCATAGTATTAGAAGCAACTGGCACAGCATCACATTGACAAAAGTGTGAAGCCAGGGCTGGCTGGAAGGCTGACTGGCAGATGAAGCCTCCAGAGCAGGGGTCTCCAACTTTGGCAACTGTACGACTTGTGAACTGTACGACTTGTGGACTTCAACTCCCAGAATTCCTCAGCCAGCACATGCTGGCTGAGGAATTCTGGGAATTGAAGTCCACAAGTCGTAAAGTTACCAAGGTTGGAGACCTCTGCTCCAGAGTGTCTCCTTAGGAGTTGAGGCTGGTTGAGGTACCCAAGATTAGGAAAAGTTCTGAAGGTTCTTGCAATAGGAGAACATGTACTAATATATTTAGATTCAATATATTCTTGTTTTATTGAATAAAACTCTCTGACCCATGCACATTGAGAGGGCTTCAAAATGAAACCGGGATAGAAAACATGAAAAGAAGCTTAATATTTGTAGGATCACACCATCACATTTTGCTATCAAAGATTCTCCAACTAGCCATCAATGGTAGACTGCTGAGAAGAAAGAGATGAGAAGTTAACATCTCCAAAAAGAAGAAGAAGAAGAATTATTTCTGAAGTTACAATAGAAAAGACTATCTGTAGCTCAGGCTTGAACTGTGAACTCCTTGATGCTCTCTGAGCTTGATGGCTTGCTTGCAGACATTCCATTATCCAACTAGATAACAATTTGTTACCTAGATGGGTAATGATATAGATGCAATCAAACAACCTAACTCAGAAAGCCCCAAGGACTCCACATCTCTGAGGTTAATTTCTCTATCGCTTAATTCTCCGTCCTTGAGACGTCTTCTTTTTCATCTCAAATCCTAGACAGAAGGGTTTTGCCAATTCATACCTCAAAGAGTTGTCCTTTTTAAAATGTTTACATATTCATTGGCTGAGCTAAGAGAAATTTAGTATGGTCAGACATGGTTAGTATTTGGATAGGAGAACCCCTGAGGCATCCCACGATTGAAAGTTGAACAGGAAACTGAAAATAATTCAAGAAAGGACAGTGGCAAACCCCTTCTATGAGGAAATTACTTAGAGGTCTCTCTGCATCCACAGGGATCAAACTTAACTTGAAAACTTTATTTTATGGGGTCTACATGATGCCCAACATTTTATAAAGGGAAGTAACAGAGGCTTCACAGTCTGTTACTTTTAACACTGATTTTTTTAATATTTCTTAAGCTTTAAAAAAATATATTAAATTGGCTGCTAAGGGAGATCAACCTAGGCACAGAAGTACCCATTAGCAGCTTGTTAGCTATTTCTATTTCTTCTCTAAGAGACTAAGTAGACATGGAAGCAAACTCAAAGATGGAGTCACTACTCACTATTGGTAAGCAATAGGCTGTATATTACTCTTGAATATCTGATATTCCATTCCTCCGACTGCTGCTTTTAGAGGCACATTCTGTGTTTACAGAGCCTAATTTATTCCATGCCAAAAAAGGTTGCGTTCAGTTCAGTCCATGCTGGTCTTCTCCCTCATTGTGGAGGGGGCTGTCTGCTACCCATCATAAAGCTGGTAGCACACATTACCGTTTAAGGTACTTTCCAAAATTAATGTTGTGGTGTACACCTAAAATATGATACAAAAATATGGCATATTCTCTGTAGATATTGGTAAAACACATGTATCATGCACTTGCATCCATCAAAGAGAAGCCAGGTTCTATGTGTACCTGCTAGCAAATTAGCTTTTTATTGCAACCTGAGGCTTGCAATGAACTTTCAGTAAGACTTCTGAACAAGATAGGTGACCAGTGTGCTTCTGTTCATTAGTCTATCTGGAAATGTATAGGAACAATGTGGCAAGTTTTGCCTTAACACTGGCCAGAGTACAGGAAGCAGTTTATGTTTTCCAGAAGCTGGTCCAAAAAAACTCTAGAATATGAACCTTTTACTTAGTTTCATTAGCTGTTTTGTCTGAAGGATATGATCTTCCTCAGCAGAGGGAAGTAAGTAGTTTATCTCCTTCTCTATTTTATACACTGCCTAATACAGAGGCCTTCAAACTTGGCAGCTTTAAGACTTGTGGATTTCAACTCCCAAAATTCTCCAGCCAGAGTTGAAGTCCACAAGTCTTAAAGCTGCCAAGTTTGAAGACCTCTGGCGTAATATGTCAAAGGTCAGACCTTCTGACCTAGAGAAGATTCTTGTCAGAGAAGATTCTTGTCAGTATTCCCTGCTGTGCCTGCATGTACTAAATCTCATTTCCAGATTATGAAAATGCCTCTTCCTTTTCCCATTGCTGCATGACTTATTTTTTTATTTATTTTGCTTTTCCGCAAAATAAATCAATCAATACATAAACAAACAAACTAAAATATCCCCAGAGATGAATTTGTATATTTCCATTTAACGCATGGAAATGTGCTGCAATGTTTTGAGAATCTACAAATCATATTGGTCCAGTCAGGAAATGCAGGACTTTCAAATTATTGGGAAAACAGTAGTTAAGACCTGGAGATCCAAGAGAACACTCATCACAGGCCCATGGGTTCCCCCTCTCCCACCCTTCTTCTCTGCTTTCCAGATAGCATGTGGCACCTGAGCATCTTATACTGTGTGCAGACTGACTATGGCATGGCCAGCATTTCAGGGGAAGATTTGTCACAAATACAAGCCGATGGAAACTGGATTTATCTGTATTTTCCATTGCTAGTGCAGCTGTTCCATCTATGGCTGCATTATCCCGCTACCATAATTCCTTCTGATATCTTGTGCCTTTGCTGCAAGCTATGTCTTCAACCATGCAACATTTCCCACCACACCGGTAAAGAGAGGACTCTCATGCCTAGTTGTAAGGAGCCCTCCTAAACACATCCCTTCTTGTCATTAAGGATTTGTTTAAATCAATTCCCCTTGCTGGTTTGAGTGGTGCAGTGGCCTAGAAGTGGAGCTCTCGCCTCGCAATCAGAAGGCTGTGCGTTCGATCCTAGGTAGAGGCAGATATTTCTCTCTCTGGGCACAGTGAGAATCTATCTGCTGGGAACTCCGCATTGGTGACAGGAAGGGCATCCAGCCAGTAAACACTCAGCTCCATTCAGTTGCCCCAACTCCACTCCGCAAGGGATTCTGGGGTCATTAAACAACAACAACAATTCCCCTGGCAGGTTTGTTTGGCTGAAAGTTTCTCCTTTCCTTAATGCCATGTGACCCAAAAGCCATTTGAGATCTCTTCAGGCTTGGGGACATTTTTTTTTACTTTGTGCTTTTTCAAAATCCAGCTGACTTTTAGGTGTAGCCTCATGTCAGATTCCTGGAAACATCTTTCTAGCTACAGCAACTTAATGTAGTATTCCTTTGTTTGGTTTTATTTTAATTCAATTCAATTTAATGTAGTTCTTATGGTTGCTTGCTAGCCCTATGTCTAATAATCTTACCTCCACGTTTCATTATAATTTACAGTTCAACAACAATTTGGGAAGGATATTCAGTCCTAAGGCTATTGAATATGTTCCTCTGCAGACTGATATGGTCCAGAGAGTTTTCCTTCTGTCCTTGTGAATGCTGCCAAAATCCATGTAAGGAAACAATATGATATAAGCTATTTTCAGTGAAGTTCATGATGTCTCTTTCAATCAACTCCATTCTAGAGAGTCACATCTAAGTCTTGTTCAAACTAATGAGTGACAGCTGTTTTTAAATCCTGTTATTATTGGTAGGATGTATGTTCACACAATAACATGATAAGAATTAGGGTTTTATTTTGAGTTTTCAGGGCATGTTCTGCTGGCAGCCCTTATCAGATAATGCTGTGGTAAGGAATCAGGGTATTTTCAACATACTTCTTTATGCATAATTCAGGGTCTTTTTCAAGTTGAAGCTTGTGTCCAGGGAATATTAAATTCCACCAGCTTCTGTATTTTAAAGATAACTGACATATTTTTGTCCCATGCTACAAGATGAAATAAAGGCAAAAGAAGAACTAGTTATCCAGTGGCTTTGTTAAATCAAAACCCACCGATGATTCTCTCACACATTCAATGAATCATTTGGATGAATCCTATGGATAAACAAATAAAGAATTAGAAAGCAGTCAAGATTGTGATATCTCTGAAGGATTCTGTAAACGGACTTGGATTCATTTCCCAACCAACCATTCAACAGACGTGATTCTGTGTAATAAATATGACAAACGCTAGTCAATTTATGTATAAGAACACTCACGTGATTTTAGCATTTTATAATATTTCTGTTTCTATCTTGAAACTGAGGGTATTTGTTTCTCCTCTTGCCTGCTAAGAACTTTCTCAGGACATTATTGCCAGGGAAGACAAAGATAAAATCAGGGTGGGAAAAATCAAAATAAAGTATTCCAAATATGAACCACAGTGGTATGAGA